AACACTCTTAACAAACAATCCTCGAAAACTCAAAGATTTTTTCCTTTCAGAACTTTCCTAAATTCCATAATTTGTGCTTGACTTTGGGTGGCACTTTCCCTCTGTGAACGTGGACTATAAATGCAGTGATTGTTTAGATAGGTTTTTTTTTGAGAGATTTTCTTTCCCAAACATCGAGGTTATTAATCCTAAATATTATAATCTTACAGTGATCTAAATTTAGAACATTTTTTAAGTGCCAACTTATTAAAAATTAGTATTTAAATGGCTGGTACAATTCCATAGTAAACGAAAATCTAAAAAACATAATGAGAGGAGGATTAAAATGATACATTGTGATTGTTATCGCTTATATTTGTAAAAATAACCTCTGAATAAATTTAAGATAAAATTATTCCGGGATTAAAAGAAGAATTTATAGAACCAATAGCTTCTAAAGATTTAGATATTGATTTTTCTTATTTTCATTACAAAAGGTTCTATTAAATCGTAATATTTCAGTAAAAAATCTTAAATGGAACTTCACACTGATACATTTTAGCGGCGACTACGAACTGCCCCACGCTACCTACGTACTTAGATAATATTTTTGTGAACATAATATAGTTTTTATTTTACTTTCTTGTATTCAAAAAGGAACCCAATTCCCAATGCATGAGCGAAAATTTTAAATGATTAAATAATGAAACTATAACAATAGAAGTAATCGAATAAAGTTTATTTATAAATCTACATTAACTTATATACAATAACAAAAACTACAGTTAAACAACAACAATGCTTAATTCTAATGTCAGACTAGTGATTCAAATAAGTAAGAGTGAACACTTTATTTTAGATTTTAAAAGTTAGCTGCATAATAATTGCAAACTGACTTAATGAAGTCCAATTTAGTAATGTTTTGATTTTCAAGGGAAAATTTTTCTATTTGCTGATGATACCAGTATTACTTGGAGTAGCTCTGATATCTCAACGCTTCATTCAATTATAACCGCTGATTTACTTATAATCAAGGCTTGGTCAGACTCCAACTTACTTAGCTTTAACGTGGATAAGACTGTAGCATTATCTTATAAAGGAGTCATGCAACCCTTTCTTTTGAATGAGAGCCAAATCAATATCGTAAATTCCGTGAAATTTCTAGGTATTCTCATTGACAGTGATCTCAAATGGTCCTTGCATACTGACTCCTTAAGGAAGAAACTAGCCTCAGCTTGCTTTGCAATAAGATCTGTTTCGAAGGAACTAAATTTATCTTCTGCCAAAATGGCATATTTCTCATTGTTCGAGTCCCATCTTCGATATGGCTTCCATTTTGGGGTTCTAGTACAGCGGCCCAATTTTATACTATTTTTTAAGTTGCAAAAAAGAGCAATCTGTTATCTATTTGGTCTCAAACAAACAACTCATTGCAAGACCTAATTCAAAAATCACGGAATTTTGACGCTTCCCTCTTTATTTATTTTGGAAACGGTTTGTTTGATTCGAAAGCATCTAAACATTTTTCCCGATAGACCTGACCATGGCTACTCCATTAGAAATTCGGATTGTAACGTTTATTTGCCGATCCCGTCCACTCAGCTAGTAAAGAATTCTATTCTATATCGTGCAAAGAAACTTTATAATCACCTTCCAAGAGAAATTAAATCCGCAACATCCTTCATTAAGTTTCGTAAGGTGACAAAAATCTATCTCTCAGAAAGACCATATTATTCAGTTGACGAGTTTCTTAATGTATAACAAAGAAACAAAATTAGTATTGTTTATAATTACATTTGGGTGTCTCAAGCAGTGGCCACATTTTGTCTCATTTGTTGTTGTCTGTACAAATTATGTAGGTTATACAACAATTTTACTAATTTTAAAATTGTGTTATTCTGTTTTTAACTATATTTTTTTTGTTTTATACTTTTTGTACTATTTGACTGATTTATTTTTTAGCTTTGTCCATAAAATTGTTCAATAATTTTCAGTGACAATAAAGCATATTTATATTCTATTCTATTCTATGATTATGCTCCGACGCATTTTCAAGAATAACATAATGTTCATCACCTTCCTTTGTGTACACTTTTTGTTGACAGCCTTTTTTGATGCATCGCCATCTAACTTTTCCATCTTTGGAGACATGGGTTTTTGAATATTTATATTCATTAATTATTAATAACAGTTCTCCCCTTTGACTAAACATAGTCGTTGGATTCGCCATTTAAATGTTAAACACAAAACTATACCGTAATACTTGCAACTAAAGTAAATAACTGAAAATATTCATATTCTTACTTTCAACTATGATCAAATTTGGAATTTCCGGTCATTAGGACTTAATCCCCAACTTTCTCGGCGATGGGGCAGTAGGTACTTCGGATTAAAGGCCCCCGTTAGTTCGTGAGGCAGTTCGTAGTCGCCCCATTTTAGGCATAAGACATATAGACCAGGAACAGGTATCTAGCAGTTACTCTTGGTGAATTAGTTATAATAATATACAATATATAAAATTTAATAAGCAAAAGCTTTTCTGTCATTTTTAATTTATAAACAATATAAACAATCGTAAATCGAGCGAGTAGTATCTTTGATCAGGGGTGTAACCCTTTTTAAGAGATAGTTTCACCCGGATTCTTGTCGGGACTGGAACTAGATGCTGGTATCAGCAGCTTGACCGTCCTTTACAATTCTCAGTTGTATATCTGAAGAATTTACAAAACGTTTTTAATCGACTTAAAGCTGCCCAATTAATGTTAAACCCCAAGAAGTGCCAGCTATTTCAATGTAAAGTCAATTATCTGGGCCATATAGTCAGTAAAGAAGGAGTGGCCGTGGATAAGGGAAAAATCGATTCCGCTAAGGAATGGCCAGAACCAACTGACAAACATCAAGTGAGAAGTTTTCTTGGACTATGTACTTACTACCGGAGGTTTATTAAGAAGTTTGCGGATATCGCTAAGCCATTAACGCGACTCACAGAGAAAGTAAGAGATTACCTTTGGGATACAGACTGCCAAAATGTCTTTGAGACCTTAAAAAAGCATTTAATCACAGCACCAATTTTAGGGTATCCACTGCCAGAAGGGGAGTTCATCTTAGATACAGATGCAAGTAATGTGGGAATTGGAGGAGTGCTGTCTCATATTCAAAGAGGACAGTAAAGAGTCCTTGGATATTTTAGTAAAGTTCTCTCAAAACCTGAGCGGAATTATTGCGTCACGAGAACAGAACTTCTGGCAGTAGTGAAATCAGTAGAGCACTTATATCAATACTCTATGGAAGAAAGTTTTTATTCCGAACCGACCATGCCGCCCTTAAGTGGTTGATGCAGTTTAAGAATCCAGAGGGTCAGATAGCCAGGTGGATCGAACGATTCCAAGAATACGATTTCAAGATTGAGCATCGGGTCGGAGTTAGCCACCAAAACGCTGATTCTCTTTCCAGAATGCCATGCCCAGCAGAGTGTTGCTACTGCAACAAAACGGAATCCAAGGAAGCAGCAGTGCTAAGAACGACGATGGTCAACGACGACTGGACGCCTACTAAGATAAGGGAAGAACAAGAGAGAGATCCAGTTATACAGAAAATCCGAAAATGGAAAGAGGAAAACCGTCGACCACCTTGGCAAGAAATATCAAACTTATGCTCAGTTGTTAAGACGTATTGAGCCCAGTGGGACTCATTTATCATGGAAGATATCTTGCTCAAACGAGTCCTGGAAAATGCTGCCGGTTCAGAGAAGAGAAGACAGTTGGTGATTCCAAAGAACAGAATAGCCGAAGTACTTCGTCAGTTACACGACAGTCCATCAGGAGGGCATTTTGGTGTGAAGAAGACCCTTCAGCGAATTCGGGAACGGTTTTATTGGATAAACAGTTCCGATGATGTAAAAGACTGGTGTAAGAAATGTACTATTTGTGCTACAAGTAACGAGCCTTATTGAAAAAGGAGAGCTCCTATGAGACAATACAATATTGGAAGCCCGTTTGAAAGGATAGCTTTGGATATTGCTGGGCCGTTTCCAGAAAGTGAAAATGGAGGCAAGTACATGTTGGTAGTAATGGATTACTTTACTAAGTGGGTCGAGATTTACGCACTTCCAGACCAGAAGGCCGCCACCGTTGCAGATAAGTTGATCCTTGGAATTAATCGCTTTCGAAGTTCCTGCCTTGGTCACTATGGATCTTAAAAGGCACTCCAAATCGGCTGATATATTCTTGGATCATTATTATCATGTACTTGAATATTTTCAACGTTTTGAGTATCCTCTCACGCTCCACTGCATCGAATGTCTTATGAGTGTGGTATGTGCTTTACAGAATTGTTTTCAAGGAGTCTAGCGACTAATAGATGTATTTGTAGACATAGCATATTTTGTAATGTGAAGTAAGTACATAAAAGGTCAAAAAATATAATATTGGGTACACTGTTAATAATTATTAAAGGGGCAGTTTCAGGTTTTTGTGTGTAATTACAAAATTTATATAATTTTACTTCCTTTGCTTAGAGGGCAGCATGTGTTTTATAAATAACTTGTAGGATGTAAACACTAACAGTTAAAAGTGGTGTTATTGTTTCTTAATATATACAAACTAAGTACGGAGTTGATATAGACGTATGTCTACATGGTGACTGAAAGGGTTAATAGGCATATAACTTCATTCATGCTTATGTATTATAAGTAGATTAAGACTGAAAATTCCTTGTCGGTTTAACACTTAAATAAATTTCCTACGTATTTTAATATTACTAAAAAGTAGACTTTGTATATAAATCTTGTGTTAAACTAACAGTAAATTTACAGTTGCAAAACTATCCTTCGTATCTTCTTGTGGGCAACTTTGAGGTCAGAAACTCCCAGCTCAGTGATCGGTATTGTCCATATTCGCCGATTTTATTTAACAAATGAGACAATATGACTAATACCGCAATATAAAAAAATACAGGTAAAAGATCTAGTGCGCGTGGGCCTTCCTCAAATGGACAACCAGGCCTACTTGATTTTCCAATCCAGTCTAGCACCGACTTTTATTCTGCGACGTTTTATGTTTGTATTGAACTGCACATTTTAGCTCCCAACTGTTTTATGTTTGTTTTGAGTGTTTCCCGTGTTACGTGCACTTCAGACCAGGACGCACAAGGTGAATAACATTTTGAAAAGGTTATATATAAAGAATAGGAAATTTGAATTTTGCTTAGAGTTAAAACTAATGTAGGTAACTTTGTCTGACTTTTCTGAGATAACATGAGTGTCAATGAACGACGTGTTTTGCATTTTAAAGTATTTCCAAAGTTGGGTTAGGTTTGTGTCTGTAGAAGACGGAAATTCCATTGTTTGTAATTAAAATACTGATTTAATATTCAAATAAATTACATGTCTTATCACATATAAACGCAAATGTTGGTAAAACCTATAATAAATTTGAATTAAAGTAGTATTCTTGTGTAAAAAGTCATCGTGATATTACATGATATTATATTACATGAATTATTCGATATATGAAATGCATATATCTAATACACAATCACCATACAACGTCAATAAGATTTTTGCGGTAATTTAAGAATCCTTACATAAAGTACTTATTTATTTAAAGTTATCTTTAAGAATTAAAGTAATGTCAAAATTGATGTTTTAAAGCAATCATCGAATGTTGATGTTATTGCGGTTAATTTTTTTTATATAAATTGTAAATTGAATAAACAATAAGAAACGATACTGTAATACCCCAGACATCCTTCTTTTTTCTTTGAGTACCGTACCCAAGTTTTAGGCGCGGGTAGTTTTCACGACGATTTGCTGATATTGTTCTCGATCTTGTGCGTCATGTAATAATTCATCTGCTGATAAGCCAGTCCATTGACGAAGGTTTCGGAGCCATGAGTATTTCTTTCTACCAATTCCTTTTTTTTCGTCGATCTTTCCGTTGAGTATCAACTGCATTATTCTGTATCTGCTTCCTCTCATTATGTGCCCCAGATATTCGAGTTTTCTGTTTTTTGTCATCTTTATTAAACCACCTTCACCTTGACCAACTCTGTTCAAAAGTTCTCTGTTCGAAATGTGTTGAACCTATGATATTCTGAGCATTCTACGATATAACCACATCTCGAAGTCTTCTAATTTGTTCATCATGTTAACCTTTATAATCCAGGTTTCACATCCGTACAGTAATACAGGATACACATAACATTTTAGGAACCTAATTCTCAGCTGTAGGTTCAGTTGAGAATTGCTCAGAATAGATCTAAGTTTCATAAATGCTCCTCTGGAAATTTCTATACGAGTTTTAATTTCTTCATTCGGATTTAGTGCCTCCTTTATTTAACATCCTACTTATTTAAAATGGTTAACTTTTGTTATCGGTTCATTATTGACAATTAGTTGTATAGCGCCGAGGTCTTGTTTACTAACTACAAGTAACTTTGTCTTTGTTGTATTTATGCTTAGTCCGTTATTAGAGCATTCTCTAATGACTCGATCTATAATGAATTGAAAATCTTTGATACTTTCAGCCATGATTGCGGTGTCATCTGCATATCTGATGTTGTTAATAGTTTCGCCTCCGATTCGAACTCCACATTGCCCTTCCAAGGCTTCGTTAAAAATTACTTCTGAGTAAACGTTAAACAAAGTTGGGGACAACACACAACCCTGTCTAATACCTCTTTGAATACAAATTTTGTCTGTTTCTTTACCGTCTACCAGAAAAAAAGCTTGTTAATTCCAATATAGATGTAAAAGTCTTGGATCTTCATCATATATTCCAATTATTTCTAGATATTCAAACAGCCTGTTTATACCATGTTGAAACCTATCAAACGCCTTTTTAAAATCTATAAAACAGACTTGTTTCTGTACTTCCCATGATCGTTGAAGTAGTGTTAGCATTGAGAACAAAGCTTCCCTTGTTCCCAATCCTTCTCTGAAACCGAATTGTTTATTTCCCATTGTGTCTTCACATTTCTGCTTGATTCTATTAAGAATTATCCTAAGAAGTAGCTTAAGAGAACGATTCATGAGACCAATTAGTCTAAAGTCTTTACATGATGATGTATTAGGTTTTTTTTGGAAGTGGGATAAACGTAGACTCCAACCATATTTGTAGCAGTGTTCCAGTTTCGTATATGTGGTTATAAATGTTTGTTAGTTCTGAGACATTGTCGTCGTCTGGGAGTTTGAGCCAGTCTGATGGTATTTGGTCAGGGCATGGAGATTTCCTATTTGTGCTTTGTTTGATGGTTTTCTCTACTTCTGCTTTTAAAATACTAGGACCAGTATTCGTATACTTTGTGGTGTTAAGTGGTTTTCTTGTATCCAGGAAGAGGTCTTTGATGTAGTTCGTCCATTTTTCCTTTTTTTCGTTTAAGTCGAGAATAATTTTACCTTTGGAGTTTCCCATAAAGTCAGGCGTTCTTTTTCTCTGAGTGTAGGTAATTTCTTTAAGTTTTTTGTGTATATTAAACTCGTCATGTTTTCTTTGTAGTTCTTCCATCTCACGATATCTCTGTTCCATCCAGTCCTCTTTTGCTCGCTTTACCTTGTATTCTTTTTCTTTACTGGCTCTTTTTCTGATTTCAAAACCTCGTCTGCTATGGTAACCATTGCGGATTTCATTATATCTATAGTTTGTCTAATATTTTCTTGTTCAGATCTTTCTAGCTGTTTTTTTAATATCATGATTTATCTTATTTTCGAATCCATCTGCTATAACGGCATTTCTTAGAAGTCGATTATTATATTTTTTCTGAGCTGTCGGGGTTTTTATTATGATTAATTTTAGTTTGAATACAGCACAGAGCACATTATAGTTAGTTGCTGCGTCTGCACTTGGGAACGTTCTTGCAGATGTAATACTGTTTCCAAACCTTCTGTTAATGATAATGTAGTCGATTTGATTTCTGTGTTAAAACTTTCGAGCAACCCCGTATACTACACTTAAATACAACCCGACGTTCATTTTACACCCCTCTAGAGGGGATGCCGGTGAGGAGAAGAGAGACACAGTCCACTCCCGAGTTTCAACACAACATCATTACGCCAAGGACGCTATTTTTACATTGATCGTTTACAAATATTTTAAATGTGCTATTTTTTACTTCAATACAGTTTTAGTTTACGTGATTTGTTTTTGTATTATTACGTGAAATTCTAATAAGATTTAACCTACATCCTACATTCTGACTACCTTTCCTTCTTGATCAACTGGAGATTTCCAGGTGATTTCTCCAGACCCCAGATATTGCGCGAAATAAAATACGTCCTTCGGCTCATAACTTAAGGAAAAATAAGGCATTGAAGAAGTGTGGAAAGAAACAACTATTTTGGCTAAGAAACCTAAGAGAATCCGATGGTTGCAGCTCAAAAATAACTCTTTAGAATAGCTGCTTCGAAAGTTAGAGTGGCCATGATCAGTACTAAGCTCCGCAATTGAAGAAAAAGAAGAAGCAGATTGTAATATAGTCATGTAGGCCAGTTTGTCTTCTTGCGTTAAAACCCAAGATCTTTGTGTATAACTCTAATCTATTAGAACTTTTTAGTTCCTCATCTCCATTAGGTTCATAGTACCCCTTCTAGGTGCTTAAACCGTTTTTGTTTTATGAATGCTTTGCAGCCACATAGTTTATCTTCTGCTGTTACTGTCTATATGTCCGATAATAAAATCTGTTACCAATTATGTATGTTTACTGCCCAATTTAAGAAGATACTTTGATATCTTCTTCGAATTTAGATTTTAAGATTTTAGGTGATAATTTATCTTTTATTCTTGTTTGATTTCTTTCGTATTAGCCTAGAGAGATCGTAATTATTGTATTCCAAGTACGAAATTATTTTTCAACTTTGGTTATTTTGTAAATTTACATTTAGTGCCTGTCAGCTTTATTTCCACTGTTCCCTGTTTGTTGCTTACTGCCAGGTCATTGGAACATTACAGTCGTAAAGTAGTTTTATCTTAAAGTAACATAGTTCAGAGTATTTAAAGCCACCTGTTGGTTAACAAGTGATTTTAAACGAATAAAAATAATACTCCTCCTCCTCAATCCTTTAGCCCTTGTCAGGGCGTAGTGACACCATAAATATTGTTAGTCTGCTGTCTCCGTTGACTGCGATCTTGTGCCATATGGACGGCTTCATGTAGGGATTTTCCTACCAAACTCTTCATTTGGTCTACCCATCGAATTGGAGATCTTCCTCTTGGTCTTCGGCCTTCTATCTTTCCTTCTACTACCAATAGCTCCATGGTGCCCGTTCTTCTAGCTATGTGGCCGAAGTAAGTTAGGTATGCTTGGTTTACTTTTTTTAGTAGCCTGTCTTTTATATGAAGCTCTTCCAGAATTGACAGGTTGGTTCTATGTTCTGTCCAGGACACGCGTAGAATTCTTCTATATACCCACATTTCGAAGGCTTCGATCTTACTCCTATCGATTTTTTTGAGAGTCCATGTTTCAGCTGCATATGTAGCAATGGGAAAAATAAGGGCATTGACCAACCTGAGCTTAGTATTCCTTGTTATTGTTCGGTCTTTCCATATTTTAATTAATTTAGCAGTTGCGGTTCGGGCCATTCCTAGTCTACGTTTGATTTTTGAGGAACAATCACCATTTATCAGAGAGCCCAAGTATACAAATGTGTCGACTACTTCGAAAATCCCTATTTGGCGTATATGCGGTAGATTATTATTTGCTCTGTCTACAATCATTATTTTTGTTTTTCCGGTGTTGATTTGAAGTCCGAATTCTTCACTTATTCGGCTTAGCCGTTCGATGATGGTACTCATTTCGAATTTATCTCAGGTTACTGATTTTTCTGCCTCCTATAGTGATTTCTCCATCCCATTCATCTAGTACTTTTCTCATTACAAATTCAGAATATATGTTGTACAATAATGGTGATAGTATGCAACCTTGTCTAGTTCCTTTCTCTGTTTTGAATGCATTTGAATATATTCCATGTACTTTAACTTTGGCTGAGTTTTTATTATACAGATTTCTTATTAGGTTAACTAGGTGGTTAGGTACTCCCATATTTTCCATTATACTCCAGAGGGGATCCCATTTTACTGAATCAAAAGCCTTTGTGTAATCTACAAAACAGAGCAACATTGGTATGTTATGTTCTCTCGCTTTTTCTACTATCTGTCTGGTGTTGAGTATTTGCTCACGCGTTCCCTTTCCTGGTACAAATCCACATTGTTCTTCGGCTATCTCTGAAAGTAGAAAGTTCTGAAAGTAGAAAGGAAGTAGAAAGGAAGTAGAAAGGAAGTAGAAAGGAAGTAGAAAGGAAGTAGAAAAGAAAAATAATACAGAATGCTGTAAAAAGAATACAGACATTTTCTACATGGATATCTTTATTAATACTCTCATGTGCACTGATCAGTGTGATGTACTTCCGTCTAAAAAAGATTGTTATAGACTGATATTTAATCCTGATACATTAATCAAACATAGCCCTTTTACCTATATGCCCTTATACTACCTTGTTTGTCTTTAATAACAAATGGGGAATAATCGTAAAAATCGTTATGAATCGATATCTGTCATATTCTTTCAAATTTTGGCGCACGGCTCCTGTCGCACCACCAAAAAACTACCCGATTTAAGAGGTTTGTGTAGATAATAAACCCCCAGTGTACTATACCCAAATTAAATTCCGTTGACTGTTGACCTGGAATATCTTATTTCAATAAAGTTATTTCATTAAAGAGTAACTAAGTCCATGCAGGCTCCCATACGGTTATCCTTTAAAAAAAGGTTTTTAAACTCATACAGAAAAAAGAATATTGAATAGTACTCAGATGATAAGGTAAATCTTTCACTTGTCGAGGAGATGGCAAAAAATACCGTGTTCCAGAATGGTAAAATAGAAAGCAGTCTTCAACTGCTGGACGGGATTTGAAAATTATTCATCACTACTTTCGTAATCAAATAAACAGATATTTTTCCTAAGCTTCGAGATCGGAAATTCAGGATCAATATCTAAATCTCTAGCAAGTATTGTTGATAATTCGACAAATATTTTAAAATTATCGTCAGATTTTTGGAATTCCAAATACTTTTTGAGATTACCTAAGCCTCGGATGCATTCCATGATATTAAATTTAGAATTTGAACGCATTTCACTATAGACATCAATTCTCTAAAAAGAAATAATGCCAAATTACAACTAAACACAAACATTTGAATGTTTTTAGATTTTAGTTATTAATTCAGCACCCATTTTTGTTTTAATTTGTCTGGTGGGATCTTTGAATAATGCATTTAATGCTCTGTTTTTCAACTCTTGTTTTAAAGATCTAATAGCATTGATACGACTTGGTATTGATACGATGATTATAAAGCTGTAACATCTGTACTATATCAAATAAACAAAAACATAAATTACATCACTAGAACTGGAAGTGTCATTAAAAAAGTGAGTTATATCATATATATATATATATATATATATATATATAATATATATATATATATATATATATAAACGAATGTACTCGTTCACTAAGCAGAACTTGTCTGAATCATTTATTTGTCAAATGTTCTTCAAATTTCGAGAAAAATATTACACCTTATACCTTTAGATATCATTCACCCATAGCACATAGATCCTTCACCGTGAGCGGTCAGTATTAATAATTTTAACAACAGAAATATAGATGACACGCTATTCAAAATGTTTATGTATTTTATCAATTACACAAAACTAAAGTCAGATTTAAAACAAGAAAATTGGTTTTTGGTTTACTCTGAAAAAGATGTTAATAAAAACATGAATGGTTCATTACAAAACTACGAAATTATATAAATGATAAAATACTTACTATAGTGTATTTTTATGTATGAGAGAGTAATAAAACAATAAATTATGTATGCAAATCCCTAAACTGTTGATACGGGTGACTCAATGAAAAACAGATATTTGTCAACAAGTTTACAGAAGTATATAGGAAAACAATTTTAAATTGAGTATGACCACCAAGTATAAAGGTTGGAGCAGAATAGAATACAATAGTTGTGAGGGTTACTAATCCCTAAATAAGGTTGCCAGTGTCGGAGTGATGGAGGTTAACAGGTACTAATGAATTTGCAAGAAATGTAAGATGTTTATTTTATAGGTTATATATAACCAATAAAAGTTTAATAAGTACCTACCTATTTGCAAAATAAAGTTTAATTCTTTAGATAAAATAAAACGTTTTATTTTATCTGAAATGAGTGCATTCCACGAAGTAAGGGTTTCAACAATCAAACATTTAATTCTCTAATTTCAGGAATCTACGACAGTAATTGACTAGATAATTACCTTCTAAACTTATTCCACAGAAAATGTGATAGTGGGTTTTTCCATTTTGTAGGAAGGTCCAAGTATTCAAAATTCTTAACAGTTCACTAAAAGTAGGTACTTCAGTTGCAAGTTGCAGTTTATTGTGTATACTAGTGTTATGGAAAATTTGGAAGTGCCGTGTAAACGCCGAAAAATTGGTCCTTTAACAGTTTATGAAAAAACATTAATATTTAATTGTTTTAAATCATTTACAGACAAGCGTTTATGTGAAAGTGTTGATGAGACCGTTGAGTTAGTTAGCAGTACACTTGGTGTTGGGAAATCTACGATTTACAGAGTTATTAAAGAAGAGAAATGTGGTAGTTTTCAAATGCCACGTAATGCTCCAGGGAAACCAAAATTTCAAATAGAATATCATTTTAAAGAAGGACTTCGACGGAAAGTGCATGAATTCTTCTTTAGACAAGAATTTCCAACATTGGATAAAGTTCTTGTCTCAGTTCGAGATGATAAGGATTACCCAGAAATGAGTCGAAGTACGTTATGGAAACTTTTAAAAGAAATAGGCTTCCGCTGGAAAAAGAATCCCAGAAAGTCTATTTTATTAGAAAGAAGCGATATTGTCATATGGAGAAGACATTTTCTAAGAACCATAAAGGAAATGAGAAACCAAAAAAGAAAAATATTTTATTTTGATGAAATATGGATCAACGAGGGTCATACACCAAATAAATTTTGGCAGGATGAAACTGTTTCAAGTCAAAGGCACGCTTTTGTAACTAACTTATCTACTGGTTTAAACCCACCATCAGGAAAGGGACGCAGGCTGATAATAGTACACATTGGCAGTTCAGACGGTTTTGTTGAAGGTTTATTAACTTGAATCAACTCGTACCGGTGACTACCATTAAGACATGAACGCTGATGTCTTTCAAGAATGGTTCGAACAAATGGTAGATCTTCTTCCTAAGAACTGTGTAATAGTAATGGATAATGCAAGTTATCACTACGGACTTATAGAAGGACTGCCCACAACCAAGTGGTTAAAAAAAGACTTGCAGAATTGGCTGAGTTCAAAAAATATTACGTACCATCCCGGATCTATAAGAAAGGAACTTTATTCGTTGTGTCCCTTCATAAAGAAAAATTAAAAAATACGAAATTGATGAAATTGCCAAAAATCGTGGAATGACAGTACTTAGATCCCCACCATATTATTGTGAATTAAGCCCGATTGAACTGGTATGGGCACAGATAAAGAGTGAAGTTTCAAGAAAAAATACCACTTTTAAAATTCATGATGTTAAACAGTTGTTTTTGGAGGCCGTAAATAATGTAAAACCTGAAAACTGGGAAAAGGCAGTAAATCACACTATTAAAGAAGAGGAAAAAATGTGGAAGCTGGACAATATTACTGATAAAATCATCTAGCCAGTTATTATAAATCTTGGTTCTGAAAGTTCATCTTCTGGATCTGATTTGGATTTGTAACAAGTAGCTGTAAGTTTTATATTAATATTTTTATTCATCTATTTAACATACCTTAGACGGTTTTAAAAACTCTTTTTCTCTTTTGTAATTTTTAAAAATTAAAAAAAATGTGAATTTTTTAAAACCCTTTTTAATGTAGGCCAGTCAGTTCTAATATAGTGTGTGATAAAAGAGGTCACTTTTGTTTACATACACATAACACTTTATAACACTGAAATAATTCATTTATTTTTTACAATTATTCAAAGTAATTTTTCAATTAATCTTGAGCACGCCCATGGAGTGATCGGATGTACCAGTTAAAATTATGCTAATTACTCTCTCGTTCATAAAAATAAACTGTAATAAAAGAGACGTATCAAATGAATTTATAGGCTACTATATCGATTTGGGAAAACGATATACAGAAATGATTCCTAAGCCAACTGAATTTCGAATGTATTGGAAATAAAAATAATACTATGTACGTATTTCCAACGACTAAAAATAAGGTTGAAAAAGATCAGACTAAAAAAGATATGCAAAGGAGCTTTTTTAGGTATTTACGCGATTAGAAGAGAAAGGCTAAAGAGAGTTAAAAGTTGTGGTATGTAGTGTGATACCTATAAATAAAAGGAGAAAAAATATAAAAGGGGAACATTATTGATGCTGGAACTAGGGAACTTATCCGTAACTACATAACTACATTTCCAGAGAAAGAGTCTCATTACTTTGGTAAGGAATTTAAATACATACTTAGATACGAAACTTAATATAAAAATAATGCACGAATTATTTATTAAAGAGTATCCTGAGAGTACACTAAAATACAGTTACTACAATAATTTTTTTTATGAAAATATTGCCCTACATTTTGGTAGGCCACAAATTGACACATGCAATGCCTGTGAGGAGCTTAATTTACAATTTAAAAGCCCGAAAAAAATAGCGGTTGCTAAAAAGTCGTACACTGCCGTCGCAGTAAAAAAATTTACACTGCCCTACATGATCAAGTTGGCGAATGCTATCAAAGAGATGATGTTGAAGCAATCGCCTTCGATTTTATGCAGAACCTTCAACTTCCTGCAATTCCTGTACAAGACCTATTTTATCTGACGCAGCTTACCGTTAATGTTTTCGGCATCACCAATATTAAGTGACGAAAATCCGTTCTTTATATTTACCAAGAAGCTTCTTCTTCTTCTTCTTCTTCTTGTGCCGTCTTCTAACGAAGGTTGGCGATCACTTCTTTAAACGCTTCTCGATCTTTTGCAACGTGAAATATCTGTTCAACACTGAGGTTAGTCCAATCTCTGATATTTCTCAGCTAAGATTTCTTCTTTCTTCCCAAGCCTTTTCTTCCCTCTACTCTACCTTGCATGATAACTTGTAGCAGAGAGCATTTATCGTTTCGGAGTATGTGACCCAGATACGATGTTTTTCTTATTTTAATTGCGTTCATAAGCTTTCTGCCATGTCCAACTCGTCTTAACACTTCCTCATTTGAGACTTTTGCAGTCCGAGCAATCTTTAAAATACGCCTATATAGCCACATTTCGAATGCCTCCAATTTTTTTATAGATTGGGCTTTCAGAGTCCAAGCTTCTACGCCATATAGTAGTTGTGACCAAACATAACATTCGACGAATCTCAATCTGATGGCCATACTCAATTTTTTATTTTTAAACATTGACTTGTATTTTATAAAGCCTTTTCGAGCTATTTCTATTCTTCAGGAGATAAAGGTCAGAATAGAAAACAGAATAGAAATACCAAGAAGCAGAAGCACGAAAAAGACTGAATGAAGTCTGCAGTTTCTATTAAATTTTATTGAAAAATATATTGGAACAAATGTAAAAGACCTACGCCTATTTTCTGACAACTGCCCAGGTCAAAACAAAAACCACTACGTTAAATATGTTTGGCTTTAACCGATACAGACAGATTTCAAAAAGTTCAACAATTTTCCCCACTTCGAGGTCACTCATTTCATCCCTGTGACCGTGTTTTTGGAGAGCATTGTTACCGCAAGTACCCAAAACCTATTCACGGTATTTGAAATTAAAAAGGAAAGTATTGGTATTGTAAGTCTGCATGTGCGTCGACCGAGACACAGAAGTTAACAAGGGACCAACGAATTTCGTTCTCAATTTCCAAATAACATCATTTTGTCTACAGCGTTGATGCTTCCGGCAGTTTCGAGCTAGTACATATAACTATACATTAATGGTTATATATGAAGTACCTTCAATGTTTCCATTCCAAAAACAAGCAATCTTATAGTTAAAATGTCAACTCAGAAGGCGTATAAAGACCCAATTCAAATACTAGAGGCCAAAAAAGAAAATTTGACACTTGAATAG